TCCGTTTCGTCCGGAAATGTCATCAATGTCAGGTGCACGGTGACTTGATTCATGCACCGCCTACAGAACTGCATCGCATGTCAGCGCCTTGGCCATTTGTTGCCTGGGGTATGGACGTCAATGGGTCGATCGAGCCAAAAGCTTCAAATGGGCATAGATTCATATTGGTTGCTATCGACTACTTCACAAAGTGGGTGGAAGCAATTACTCTCAAATCTGTCACCAAGAAAGATGTGGTAGACTTCGTGCATTCCAACCTCATCTGCCGTTTTGGTATTCCTGCAACTATCATTACAGATAATGCTGCAAATTTGAGTAGTCATTTGATGAGGGAGATATGCGAATAATTCAAGATAACGCATCGGAATTCTACTCCTTATCAGCCCAAAGCCAATAGTGCCATCGAAGCAGCAAACAAGAACATCAAAAAGATTTTAAGAAAGATGATTCAAAGTTTCAGGCAGTGGCATGAAAAGTTACCATTTGCATTGTTGGGATATCACACTACTGTGCGCACATCAGTCGGAGCAACCCTGTATCTTTTGGTTTATGGAACTGAAGCCGTAATACCCGCAGAAGTTGAAATCCCTTCTCTTCGGATCATTGTTGAAGCTGAAATTGAAGACAGTGAGTGGGTCAAAACCCCTCTAGAATAATTAATCCTGATCGATGAAAAGCGAATGGCATCAGTCTGCCACGGGCAGTTGTTCCAACAAAGAATGGCCTGTGCATACAACAAGAAAGTGCGGCCTAGAAACTTTGAAGTGGGGCAACCGGCCTAGAAACTTTGAAGTGGGGCAACCTGTTTTAAGGCGTATTCTTCCCCATCATCAGGAAGCCAAAGGAAAGTTTGCTCCTAATTGGAAAGGCCCATACATTATAAGAAAATTGTTTCCAAAAGGGGCATTATATCTGGGAGACATTGAAGGAAATTACCCTAAAACAACTGTAAATGCAGACGCAGTCAAAAGGTACTATGTCTAATCCTTCTGCAGCAATAACATTACTTGATTGGGATGACGAAGGCTTTCATTCTCGCTACCCCAAACACTCCAACCCTTTGATCCGGTTACCTTTCTTTCATTACCTTATTTGGAACTTGAAGACGTTTGTTAAAAAAACAACAACAAAAACAAAGTGTTTCCCTGAACTACGTTCGACTTGATTCCGAAAGGATAGGTAGGCAGCCTCTCTCTAAGGTTCAGTCACACCAAAATAAAAATCCAATTTCCCCCAAAAAGTAAAACTGGGGCAGATGTTATAATGGTTCGGCGATGATCCCGCCTGAACGGTTCCAAAGTTGTAATTCAATCCAAGTTCTTTTTACCCAAACCTTGTTCAAGTCCTTCCGATCAATCGATGAAAGGTTTTCAAAATCAAAGAATGTAGTTAGTGGGATCCGATACAATCAAGATGAGAGAAATAAAATGAGAGAGTCTTATTGGTGAAAACCTACGGGCACCGTAAGGCGAGGGTAAGCAGAGAAACTGAAAAAATGAGAGAGCCTTGTTAGTGAAAACTTACAAAGAGCACTATAAGGCAACGATGAGAAGAGAAATGGGAGAGGTCGATTGGCGAAAACCTGCAAGGGCACCATTGATCGAAAAGAATAAATCCCTCACCGCCATTGGTATTGAAAGAGTCATGGCAAGGTTTCTCGGTTTTAAAACACGGGTCGCAATAGGTTTGTAAGAAGTTGGATAGTTGTGCAGATCAGGCATCCAGTCCAAGAAGCATGTCATGTCTATTGAAGTCTGCATGCACTCTAGATAAGTCCTTCTTTCCTCCCCGAAAGGGACACTTCTCCTTAAATTCACTTTCTTGTCCTTTGTTCACTTCCCTTTGAATCCCTTTTGGTCTAACTCTATTCTGAAACTAATACAAAGAAAAGGTGGAAAGATTGGTTTTACAGGTTTTTGTTTAATAAAAGCCAAGTCCAAAGAAAAGTACCCAGCCTCAGCGGATGCATCAAGTCGATCCCGACTGGCCATGATAGCTGATGCTCTGAAATCAGAGTTATTGAAAATGAAAAGAAATCCAAATTCAAAATCCCTAGAAGCAGAATAAGGTGAAAGGGCCAAAGCCCCACACGGTTGAACCGTCATCTGAAAAGTTTGGAAAGTTGAGTTCCTCGGTTTTAGGAGAGAGATCAATCTTCAGAAAATCCAGCAAGCAGCAGAGGTTCTCACCAAAAGAGTTGGGCCAAGATCAAGTGATCAAAAATAATCAAGGCCACAAAACCAACCACTGTTTCAAACTACCAATTGTTCTTTGTTTGAAAAAATTGAAACAGGTGCAATCCAAAGCAACCGTACAAGAAGCAGGTCCAACCAAAAAGGAAAATAAATGCGCAAGTGCTAGAAACAGTTTTGCAGCAATAATCCATCCAAAAGGGAAGTCTCCTCCAAATTCTTTCCTACATTTTTACTAAAAAATGACGAAAAAATGAAATGAAATGAAAAAAAAGTGATAAGAAGAAAATTCAAAAAATGGTAGATTAGGATCCCCAATCTCAATTTTTTACGTTTTTCCAACATAGGGTCTCCAATCCATAGTTGAAATTTTGTAGACATAGGGTCTCCATCCCCTAGTCGCCTTTTGCCAACATAGGGTCTCCAACCTTTAGTTAAGATTTTTAGACATAGGGTCTCCATCCCCTAGTCGCCTTTTGCCAACATAGGGTCTCCAACCCCTAGTTGAGATTTTTTAGACATAGGGTCTCCATCCCCTAGTCGCCTTTTGCCAACATAGGGTCTCCAACTCCTAGTTGAGATTTTTTAGACATAGGGTCTCCATACCCTAGTTGATCTTTGCCAACATAGGGTCTCCAACCGCTAGTTGAGATTTTTAGACATAGGGTTTTCGTCCCCTAGTTGCCTTTTGCCAACATAGGGTCTCCAACCCCTAGTTGAGATTTTTAGACATAGGGTCTCCATCCCCCAGTCGCCTTTTGCCAACATAGGGTCTTCAACCCCTAGTTGAGATTTTTAGACATAGGGTTTCCATCCCCTAGTCGCCTTTTGCCAACATAGGGTCTCCAACCCCTAGTTGAGATTTTAGACATAAGGTCTCCATCCCCTAGTCGCCTTTTACCAACACAGGGTCTCCAACCCCTAGTTGAGATTTTAGACATAGGGTCTTCATCCCCTAGTCGCCTTTTACCAACACAGGGTCTCCAACCCCTAGTTGAGATTTTAGACATAGAGTCCCCATCCCCTTGTCGCCTTTTGCCAACATAGGGTCCCTAACCCCTTGTTGAAATTTTTAGACATAGGGTCTTCATCCCCTAGTCGCCTTTTGCCAACATAGGGTCTCCAACTCCTAGTTGAGATTTTTAGACATAGGGTTTCCATACCCTAGTCGCCTTTTGCCAACGTGGGGCCTCTAACCCCTAGTTGAGTTTTTTTAGACATAGGGTCCCCATCCCCTAATCGCCTTTTGCCAACATAGGGTCTCCAATCCCTAGTTGAGATTATTTTTAGACATAGGGTCCCTATCCCCTAGTCGCCTTTTGCCAACATATGGTCTCCAATCCCTGGTTGAGTTTTTATAGATATAGGGCTTCATTCCCTAATCTCTTTTTCCTAAGGACACACAATTCTTACTTTATTGCGTTCAAAAAAAAAGAAGAAATAGTTTAGATTTTAGTTACAAATAACTCACGAAATTTTCCAAGTGAAAACTGGGGCAAAAAAATTTTGTTCGTTCATTTGTTTTGTGTCTGAGCGGGTTTGACCTCGAGGCACAGTGTTCGAGATGACCAAAAGAATGAGTCTCAATCCAAAATAAAGAAAACAAAAAAAGAGCAAAAAGAAATGAACTCAAAATGCAGAAGTGGAGAAGGATGCGGACTGCTCAAGATATGATTGAAGTCATAGGCTTCGCGCGCCCCACCTTGATCTAAAGCTGAAGAATGAACCAGCGGTTTACGGCTGATGAGCATCAAGATTCAGATCAGAGTCTGCATCAAGAACTAGATGAACCAGCGGTTTACGGCTGATGAGCATCAAGATTCAGATCAGAGTCTGCATCAAGAACTAGCTAAGACTCGAGATCACGCTCCAAGAGATTTATAGATAGGAATCTTGTAACTCGTAGTTGATAGGCTTAGCTAGTTTAGATTTTTACTTTCCATTTTGGTGTAATAAGGAGTTCAGCAATTAGTAGCAACAGCAGCAACAGTGAAATCACAGTTTCCCGGTAGTCTCAGCTACCAAAACTTCTAGAACTACACTGACCTGATTCCTTTATAGCCAAGGATATGTAGGCAACTTCTGAAGCAAGGTTCGGTCAGGCTTTTTCAAAATGCTTCTTATGGAGTTTCAAATGGGCAAAAATCTCTCATAATTGCTCATTTTATCTTTGCCCGAAAATCCTTCGTGTCTCCGAGCAAAGAGGGGCAGCTGTGAGCACGTGATTTCTGCCCCACATGAATTACTCCTACAGAATTCCAAGGAATTAGATTTTTCTTTTAAATGTTTGTTATTTTAGGAATTATTGTAGAATTCTCTAATTATTTTTGCATTTTCTGTGCATGTCTAATTTTATTTAAGTCATGAAAAATACCAAAAATACCATGCATCACATTTAGGCTTGTTTTTATATTTTTAGAATTAATCAGTAATTATTTGTTTTATAGAAATTTGAAAATCACAAAAATAGATCATTTTCACATTTTTTGTCTTTTAATTTTTAGTTTATTGATTTTTCTCTTTTAATTTAGAATTAAGTGATGTTTATAATTTTTGTAATTAGTCAATTAGTTTAATTTCACATTTTTAGATAATCAAGGATTTTAATTTCTAGGATTTTTAGTTAAAGAAAAACAAAAAGAAAAAAGAAAAATAGGAATAAGAAATTGAAAAGGCGGGTTTTTAATTTATGTATTTAGACTATTTCATTAAGCCAAAAACCAACCCAAAGTTTAATCTAAACCTATTCCCAAATCCAACCCAAAACCGGATCGACCCATTAACCCTTTCCTTCTTAATACCCTAAAACACACATTATCAGACTAGACCTAAGCGATATAAGCGGAGAACTTTAGACAAGAGCAAAACGGCGCACCCTCAGCCGAGTTCTTCTTCTTCATTTTTCTCCAATCCACAACAAAAAAAAAATGAGACTCCCCTCCCAAATTCACATCGAATGAGACAAGATTAAGCACTCACCATCGGACCGAACTTTTGGTCCTTCGAAAGGCCAAGCCAAATAAAAAATGGAAAAACAGAACAAAAAGAAAAATTGAATGTTAAGATTGCTTCAATCTCTGCTCATTTTGATATATGTCGTGAGGATTTCAAGGCTCTTTTGATTCTAAAGATTATGCCTCCTTGCTATATTGCTGCTGTTCAAGTTTGTTGGGCTTCTTCACTTTATCTTAGCCTTTATTTGGCTATTCAAGCTTGTATTTGCTGATGTTTAGAGGTATTTATCTCAAATCTCAAAAATATAAGTGTTGTTTGGATATTCATGTGCTAAAAAACTTGCTGAAATTGCAAGGAAATGATATAATTTTTTGGGTTAAAATCTGATTTTTTTTTACTTCTTTTAGTCTAGTTTAATTAAAAGAGAAAATCCTTAATTAAAAGGTTTAAACAAGAACAGAGCACCATTGGTCAAGTAGTTTATGTTTGGGCGATGCTATTCTTCTTGATATTTAAAAGGCTATTTGATTTTTGTTTTTCATATGAAAAGTCACGGGTGTTGCAAAATTTGAGATCCTGCTGAATACTGTTTGTTACTGATTAGCTTGAAATGGAAAGATGTTTTAGTTTAGAATGATGTAGAATTTGAGGCTCACAACTTTGAAAGCTACTCTTTGCCAGACAAACAGTTTGAAAAAAAAATGGGGTTGTTCTGTTGTGAATTTCATTTTAGTAGTAGGATGAATGAATCATGTATTGGTAATGGAAATTATTCAAAGCTTTTGTATGTAATCTGACTATGTTTTTGATTTTGCTAAGATCTTTGTGCTTGTTGGATTTAATTCGGCTCAGCCCTGTGAGTAAGGCCTAATAGAGCCTCACTTTAGAATATTGATATAACCCAGTTGTTTTATTATTTTTACCACGTAACTGGACTAATTTGTTTGGGAGGCATCACATGACTAACTTGTTCCTACTTATTTAATTTGAATATGTTTGGAATTCTTTCAACCTGAAGGCTTTAACTTAATCACGCCCCATTGTAGGCTAGTGAATGTCCTAATTCTTTAAATAATCATACAAGTTAAAGTCTAGACCATTGTAATCCTACCAACGAAATCCTACTTCTTTAACCTTAACCATTAATCTCAAACATAGGAATTGAATAATTCAAACATCTAGTTTGCTTTAGGCGCTTAATTAAATTATCGTGGCTATGAGCACGGTTCCCGTGGCATAGTCGTGATACCTAATTCCCAAATTTGGGGGTGCATTTCATGTAACCCGATTATAACAACTTCAAATAATAAAACCCTTTGAAGCAAATTGAGGCGTGCCATGCCAAGCAAAATTTATAACCCATGGCCCTCATTTAATTAATACTAACTCTTTAAAGATGGAGGTGTTCCATTATTAAATTTTCCATGGCCCACGAAAACCTCTTATTAATTGGAACCATCATAGTTTGCTTTAGGCCCGATTTAGATTAGTATTGTGATTATATATACGTTCGCATAATATGATTGCAAATTTAACTCTAAAAAGACTCGAGGGATGCGTTCGCGCAACTTCAATAAATTTTTTCTTAAATAAATAAACAAGCACTATTAATCGTGGACAGGTTCGCGTGACATGATTTTTGATGCGCCGAAGGAAAAGAGTATACATACGCGTAACTCAATTCTTTAATTACGAATAGTCAAGTGGTTTTAAAAGCGGTAAAAAGATAATTTCACATAGGTTTTAGAAATGAGTAGTTTAACCATTAAACCAAGTATAAATTGCTAAGCGACCGTGCTAGAACCACGGAACCCGGGAATGCCTAACACCTTCTCCCAGGTTAACAGAATTTCTTATCTAGAATTTCTGGTTTGCAGACATAAAAAGGGAAAGTCGACATTTCCTCGATTTGGGATTTAAAATAAAGCGGTGACTTGGGACACCATAATTTATTCCAAGTGGTGACTCTGATTAAAATAAATAATCTCATTTCGAATAATATCACTTAAATTGGAAAAACTCCCTTATATACCCCTCGGGTGGTAAAAAGGAGGTATGACAAGTAGTACCATCCACCCTCCACCAGGTGATAAAATTCCCGACAAAGGACGGGATCAAAACCGTCTACGGGGAACAACACGCGGCAAGGGAAGTGTTCACTATACATGACATGGTACCAACGCTCATGCCTCCACCCCCGAATAAAACAACGAGCAAACCAGGTCTCGCCCCCGGTCGAACGTGACAAAACAGAGTAAAGATCCATGCCGCATCTCCGCCCCTGGGCAGTTANCCGGAACCGACGACGGGTCAGGGAAAACTATTTCAAAAGACCTTAACGAGCGGAAAACAAGCCTACAAATAGCCCGTGGGCAAAAACAGCGTAAGAGCCATTGTCACCAGCTAAGCAAGCCTCCGATCCACATATTAAAAAGGTCTCTACGGCCAAAACAGCGTAAGAGCCATTGTCACGAGCTTGAAAATATTGACAACTTGAGGATTAAAATAAGCTCGAATCGTAATCCGATTCGGAGACCGGATCCAAAATAGTTAACTATGCAAGCCTCCGGGCCACATATTAAAAGGTCTCAATGGCCAAAACAGCGTAAAAAACACGATCGCCTATCTAAAATTCAAAAGCACTTAAGGGTCAATTGAAGCTCGATTGAGGTCACTGCAACATGCACGACATAAATGCCACAGTCGCCAGCCGAGTAAGCCTCCGAGCCACGCACCTATGAGGTCACTTCGACCCGAAGAACAAGAGGTCACCATCGTCCGCCCATGCAGGCAGAAAGAGCTTAAGGGTCAATTGGAACTCGAGTCGCAATGCGACTTGGAGACTGGACTCAAAATAAGTAAACTACAACATGCTTAAGTGCACAGCATAAATGCCACTGTCGACCAGCCGAGCGAGCCTCCGAGCCACGCACCTGTAAGGTAACTTCAACCCAAAGCATAAAAGGTCATCGTCGATCGCCCACGCAGGCGAGAGAGAACTTAAGGGTCAAACTAAGCTCGAATCGCAATGCGACTCGGAGACTGGACCCAAAATAGTCGAAACAACAAGGTGCCCAAGGGCGAGAAATGAAGGCCACCATTGTCCGCTTATGCAGGCAGGAAAGAACTTAAAGTTCAGTTAAAACTCGAATCGCAACGCGACTCGGAGACTGGATCCAAAATAGCTGAAACAGCAAAATACCCAAAGGTAAGAAGTGAGAACAGTCACCATCCGCCCGCACGGGCACAAAAAGATTGAAGGGCAGGCAAGCTTAAATAAAGGCCTGACTCAGAGACCGAGCCTAAAACAGTTGAGCAACACATAGAGGCCCCAACACCTGGTCGCGTTAAGGATCGCGCTTGAAAGCCCCTGGGCCTGCCTGATCGGTTCTGAGTCCACGAGGATCCCGCCAAAGCATGGAAACCAGCCCACCAGATCGAAGGCGATACGGGAAGAAATACAAAAGAGGTAAAACTTCAAGATTTCTCTTATTTTATATATGTGCGAAAGGTCGTTTTCCATCTACAAACATGCTCTACATACAACAAAATACAAAGTGGCAAAATCTACACTCTACCCCTAAAGGGTTACGGCCTACCGGCCCCAGCCTCGCTCTTCGTGGCATCAGCAATAAGCAAACCGGGCATCACACCCTACCACCTTCGCTCTAACGAATCATGCTAGAAGGACAAAACCCTTGGCATGGGTCTCTTCAAAGCGTCCTGCCCAAAATATCTACGGCGAACGCATCCCTCGAAGGCTCGTTCCAACCCGACTCAATTGTTGGTGACAAGTCGCCACTCCTTCATCATCCTCGGACCAGCTTAGTACAATACCAATCCGGGCACCGCTTGTTCTCAATCCGAACTTTTGAGGAATCAAGCTATAGCTTCACAATCATATCCACTCAGGTCGAAGCTCAAAGCCTGCATTTGATACTTCAGGTATTCCTATCTCTAACGGCTACGCTCCTAAGGTCGAAAGGCGAAACGCTTATAGCAAGAAGACTCATGCCTCACAAAAAGGTTTCTGTAATGCGAGCTCCGATATTTCCCGAATCGCTAGTGCACCGACTCATCCCTTTTATCCCCTCACCAAGAAGCCCAAGGGGCCTACCCTCATCTAGGGCCCTCCAAAGTATAGCCCCTTGACGGAATAGCTCAAAGTCTGGGTCTGTTGGAGCCTTACAGAGGGAAAACCCTATAAGAAAGGGAAGACCCAAGATATGGAGGAATCATGCTAAAAACTACCGTGAAGTGAAGCCGACAAACCTACCCGATGACCGAGCACCTTCCTGATGGCTTAACCCTTATTAGCCCAAAGGAACCGATGCTCCGGAACCAAGGACTCCAGGAACGCCAGGCTCGAATGATGCACTCTCCTCAGGAACACGGGCCTGTCTCGCCCCGATAAAAGCTCCTCCATGATTACAAAACACACATCTCAATTATCACCGTGCCCGGTCTTTGTCGTGCCCCAAATAAGTAGCTGCTAAGGGCATGACCTAGCATCACCATGAAATCAGCGACCCCCGAGGACCCTCGGGAAGCAGAAGCAACCTCACGACTACATCTAAAAAGGGAAAGAACGAGTCAACACCAATCAAAGGCATCGACCATCGGCACAGCCTCTAGTTTCGAGGTAATGCTCAACCCCGAAGATCTCCGCCATAGCAAGACAGCACCCCAACAGACCAACAATGCCTGCGACAAATTAGCGTATAGCTTCAAAGGCCTCCTCTAGGAAAGGATAGTTTACGAAGAAATGGGAATCACTAACAAACGCCCGTGCAAAACAGACTCCGAGTAATAACCAGGGCGGCCTGAAGCACGGTCAGGCCTCTATTCGGAGATTGCCTCCAAGAAGTCACCGGCATCCCGAGACCGCGAGTCCTCGGGCAGATCTCTTCTCGAAGGCCATTATAAGGCCCGAAGATGTTATCCACGCTCTCACACAGGTAAAGGGCCCTGGCGGCCCAAGGTTATTGGCCTAATTCGGGTCCGGTTCGAGAAATCGCAAAAAAAACCACGCGAAGTTGTTTCATCAGCCAAAGGCCGGGAAGAATACTCAAGGCTAGTATCATAGGTGACGAAACAGGATCATGCACTCGAAGCTGCCAAAAATATAGAGAGATACAGCTAGTGTCGAAGGAAGAAATCAAGAAAATATCTTTGTATTTATACAAGTGTTCGCTTACAACGACCCTCGAGGGGTCCTTACATAAGATTACATTACATATGATTTCAAAAGCCCACAGGGGATCCTTACGAAAAAGTGAAGAAGTACAAGTGATATGCATACAATAGGAGCTTAAGGACCTAGCCTATTCATGTTGCATCTCCGTCATCATCCTCTCAGGCATATGACCTTAAACACAATATCTTCCAAGTCCGACCCCCTTGGGGACCACATCCCAATCCTTCCAGAATGGCATCTTCAAAAGGGAGGGTATGGAAAAGGAAGGCAGGGGAGAAGAGCAAAATGACGAAGGAGAAGCCGGAAGAACATGGGAAGTGGCGGTGAAAAATTTGGCTAGTATGAAATCCACCAGTACTACCATTTTGAAGCCACTTCTCGAGACGTCACCTCGGGCCGGAAGGTAACAGCCGGCAGATCCGCCGACACACCCTCCTGGAATCCAAAAGGGGTGTAACACACCGAGCCGAGGGAGGAGGGTGAGTAGCGGTGTATAATCCGAGCTCCCTCTTGAGCAGCGGTGCATAATCCAAAGCATCCCCGGGGTCGGAGGAACTCGGTCCTCTACCTCATCACCCCGGGGCAACGACAACAATAACAACAACAACACCAACAACAGTATCACAGCGGCACAACTTCGCCCAATCAAAAGAGGATCGAGGATTGGGCCACGGTACATATGGTGTAATATCTTGAGGATACAAGCTTCAAACATGACGAGATGGCAGAAATTCAAGATAGTAGGAAAGGAAGAAAAGATGGGTGTCAAAGGGAATTTGGATAAAAAGCCAACCACGAAAAGTACCATTTATAGGGAGGGCAAAGTAACCGACGGTGCCATCACCGCCCTTGAAAAGCGTAACAGCAGGCGCAATCAATGCGTTCATAGAAGCTGAACCGATAACAACGAAGATCAAAGAATCGCGACGTTTTGAGTAATCCTAGAGAACCGGAAAGGCGAAGCGCCTTGACACCTGTAAAAAGAGGACTGCACCGTCAGCACGACGTCATAATGGGAGATTGAGAAGTGGGGTGTCAAAATCATTTCTTATCACTTCCCCCTAAAAATGTGGAGATTATCTGTGCACGGTGAAATTTGGGAGGCCAATTTCTCCTCGACTGAATACCTCGAGGGGTGATCTCAGAAGCCCGGGATCTCGAGCCAGTCACGCCCTCAAGATCTGTCGGTATCCTACCAAGGATAATGTCGACTAAAGCCCCGATGAACACAGGGATCTCCTGAGGAATACACCCGGGGTCAATCAGGTCTATTCAAGCGGCTCGACATCAGCCCATGCATACATCACAAAGTTATCCGGTTGTCCTAACCTATTTCTTTTATCATGTAACGTATCTTGTACGAAGATGGGACTTTCCACTTTCTATAAAAGGGGAGTCGCTAACACCCTGTAAAGTCAGAGCTCCAACTTTTATCCACAAGTGCAATAATATCTTCTCTCTCTTTCTCCTCTCTAACTCTCTTGCCCTCACTAGCTCGAAGCCACTTAGCTTTATTGCCTTCTTGTCTGTTCTTTGTTTATCACTTGGTATTAGCCCGAAGTCTCCTTAATCTCCATCGCTTTCTTACTTGTTCTTCACCATATAACTTAGTATTGTCCATAAAGAGCCTTATTTAATTATATCTTCAACTGTTATCCCATCCCCGATTATCCCCGATAGTTCGAATTCGACCCTGACGTCGACCGCGAGGTCCCCCATCGACCAGATCTACACCCGGGAGCAGGCCCTTTGGTTCGATTACTATCTCGCTTTAGCTTTCTTTTCGTTATTAAACTCCATATTATTAGCATCAACTGCTCTAACAACTAGCTCAAAAATAGATCACGTATTTTTAGAACCCCATTTACAAATTTAATTGTTGTTACCATTTTCATGGTAAACACACTACAAGGCGATGGTGAGAAGAGAAATGAGAGAGGTCAGCTCGTGAAAACCTGCAAAGGGCACCACTAATCAAAAAAGAGGATCTTCAGTCACTGACGTTGACACAGTCCTGGGCAAGGTTTCTCAGTTTCGAGGCAAAAATTGTGATGAACTTCTGAGAGTTGGACGGTTTACACAAATCAGGCATCTAGTCCAACAGACATGTCATGTTCATTGAAGTTCGCATGTACTCCAGACTAGTCCTTCTTTCCTTTCCCCGAAAGGGATACTTCTTGTTTTAAACGCATTCTTCATTCCATTTTTTGTTTTCTTTGAATCCCTTTTGGTCTAGCTCTGTTCCAAAACTAAGACAAAGAAAGGATGGTAAGACTCATTTACAGGGTTCTCATTTAATGCAAGCTAATATGCAAAAAGGCACCCAGCCTCGTCGGGGGCATCAAGTCAACCTCGACCGGCCATGGCGGCTGATGTTTTGAAATTAAAAAACTCCTGAAAAGAAAGGAAATCAAAGTCAAATGCCCACAAAGGCAAAATGAAGTTAAAAAGGTTGAGTCCCACGTGGCTAACCGTCTTGGCAAAGGTTTGAAAAGCCCAGGCACCCAAATGATCTTAAATTAAAGTTGGAAGAAAGAAGCTAGAAATGAAAGGCCTACGAAGGCGAAACAAAGTTAGAAAAGGTTAAGTCCCACGTGACTAGCCGTTGCAGCAAAGTTTGAGGAGCCAAAAGTTCCCCAATGCTCCGAAGTTCAAAAAAAGTCAAAAGGGAAAGGCCTACGAAGGAAACATAAAGTCGAAAAGGTTGAGTTCCACTGACCAACCATCATGGCAAAGTCTGGAAAAACCAGAGGTTCTCCAGGGCCTGAAATGAAATCGGTCCTCAGGGAACAAGTAGTTGCAGTTGAGACCTTCATCAAAGAAACTGGGCCGAGATCAAGTGATTGAAATGCTCAAGGCAACCAACCACCATTTTAAACTGACTAATTGTTCTTTGTTTGAAAAACAGGAAACAAGTGCAATCCAAAGCAACCTTGCAAGAAGCAGGTGCAACCAAAAGAAACTGCGCAAGGGCTAGAAACAGCTTTGAAGCAATAATCAATCCAAAAGGGAAGTCTCCTCCAAATTCTTTCTTGCATTTTTACTCATTTTCTTAAAATTAAAAAAATTTAAAAAAATTGAAATGAAAAGAAAGAAGAAGAAAAATTCAAAATCATGGTAGCATAGGGTCTCCAATCTCTAGCTACGTCTTTTCCAACATAGGGTCCCACTCCCTAGTGATGCCAGTATAACCTGGTAATCTTTTCCGACATAGGGTCCCACTATCTAGCTTATGCCAGCATAACTTGGTAATCTTTTTCAACATAGGGTCCCACCCCTAGTTGATCTCGGCATAACCCGATGACTTTCCCGTCATAACCCGAGGACCTTTCCGGCATAACCCAATGACTTCCCCGGTATAACCCGAGGACCTTTCCCGCATAACTCGATGACCTCCCCGGTATAACGCGAGGACCTTCCCGGCATAACCCGATGACTTCCCCGGCATAACCCGAGGACCTTTCCGGCATAACCCGATGACTTCCTCGGCATAACCCGAGGACCTTTCCGGCATAACCCGATGACTTTCCCGACATAACTCGAGGACCTTTTCGGCATAACTCGATGACTTTCCTGGCATAACCTGAGGACTTTTCCAGCATAACTCAATAATTTTTCCAGCATAACCTGGTAATTTTTTCCAACATAGGGTCCCATTCCCTAGCTGATGCCAGCATAACCTGTTAATCTTTTCCGGCACAGGGTCTCATTCCTTTATTGATGCCAGCATAACCTAGTAATCTTTCCAACTTAGGGTCTCCGATCCCCATTTGATTTCATTTTAGATATAAGGATTCACTCCCTAATCTCTTTTTCCCAAGGATATACAATCTTGATTTTATTGCTTTTAATAAAGAAGTAGTTTAGATTTTGTTACAATAACTCACGAAATTTTCCTAGTGAAAACTGGGGCAAAAATATTTTATTCGTTTGTTTGTTTTGGTGCCTGAACAGGTTTTTACCGTGAGGCACAAAGTTTGATATGACCAAATGAAGAAATCTCAATCCACATAAAAGAAAATAATTGAACTCTAAGTGTAGAAGCGAAGAAAAAATGTGGACTGCTCAAGATTTGATTGAAGTCACAAGCTTTGCATGTCCCGCCTTGATCCGAGAAGTAGAAAAAGGAATGAACCAGCGGTTACAGCTAACGAGCATCAAGATTCAGATCAGAGTCTGCAGGAAAAACCAGCCAAGACTCAAGATCAAGCTTTAGAAGGTTTATAGATAGGAATCTTGTAACTCGTAGTTGATAGGCTTAGCTAGTTCAGCTTTTTATTTTTTTATTTTTGTGAAATAAGGAGCTCAGCAAGCAGAAACAGCAGCAACAGTAGTGAAATCACAGTTTCTCGGTAGTCCCAGCTACCAAAACTTCCATAACTACACCGACCTGATTCCTTTATAGCTAAGGATAAGTTGGCAACCTTCGAAGCAAGGGTCGGCCAAACTTTTTCAAAATGCTTCCAAATGGAGTTTCAAACGGGCAAAAATTACTCGTAGTTGCTTACTTTATCTTTGCCCGAAAACTCTTCATGTTTCTGAGCAAAGAGGGGCAGTAGTGAGCACCTAATGTTCGCCCCACATGGAAATAACTCCTAAAAATAGACCAAAAATAATCTTTAAGGGATTTTAGAAGTTTTTCTTTATTTAGTTGCATTTCATGCATTTTTAATATTTTAAACCATAGAAAAATTATAAAAATTGTCACGGTTTAACTTCATGCTATCTTAGGTTCAATTTGCATGTAGTAATTAATTTTATTAAGCAAAAATCACAAAAATGGTCATTTTTATATATTTAGATTTTAGCCTTTAACATTAGCATATTTTTCTTTAATTTTAAGTTAATTAGTTGTTTTAATGTTAAAAATAGATAAAGAATTTTAATTTCTACAAAAATAGATTGATTTAGGATTTTAATTAATTGGAGAAAAGAAAAAAACAAAGAAATAGAAAATAAGAAGAATATATTTTGGTCTTGTTTCTTTTAAAATACTTGGCCTGGGCCAATTCCTAAAAAGGCCCATTTTTTCTCTTTTTTGCCCAACCCAATACCCTCCTAGCCCAAACTCTATTTTCATTAAAAAGCAAAACCTAGAGAAGAGAGAATCAGATTTTTAGACCTAAAAAGAGATCAGAGACTCTCCCCTCTTGAAAACTGAGAAACGGGCATCTACACCATCCCTCTTCTTCTTTTATTTTTCTCCAAACCTAAAAATCCAGAGATCAAATCTTCCTGTTCCCTAAGGCTAACGAGAGACAGTCGCACCTCTAAAAGGGAGCTTTCTTCTTCTTCAAACAAAAAATCATAGCAGCGATTAAAATTTTTATGACTCTTTTTATTTTGGAAAAGAGACACAAGCATGACTTAGGACAGAGAGAGAAGAAACGACTAGGTTCGGGGCTCCAAAAATGAGAGGTTTCAGGAGAAAAATAGGATAAAAAATTGAGAAAAAACTAAGGGTTCTACTGTTGTTGCTTATGTTGTATTGTTTAAGCTTGGTTGAGCTCCAGATTTCATTATTTTGACCGTTATTTGGTCATTGTTCTATTGTTCTCTGCTATAGGTATGTGGAAATTTACATGTTGTCATGTACTCTGATGTTTGTGAATGAAATCTGTGTTGTTCATGTTAAGCCTGTGATGGATCTCCAAGATTTAGTATGTTTAATTTCCAAATCTGCCTGAATTCTCCTTCTCTGATTAATATCTGATGCTATAATACATGTTTCAATTAAATGTCCAAGTTATTAGGTAATTGTTGGTTAAGTTGATACAGTTTGTTGACAAAATTCACTTCCTAAAAGCAATGATTCATGTTTAAAATGAGCTTAAGGATTAAACTGATTCCAATTGTCTTTAAGTTGTTTGATTAATGATAGTTGCTTCCGTGTAAATTGAAATCTGCTTGGGGAAATGAAAGCCTGCGGAATAAGGAAATCCATTTTCATGGAACTTAGTTTAACTAGAGAACCTAACTCCCAAAATTCCAAAAAGCTAAGAGCTCACGGACGCTAGCTAATAGGATTATTTGTACAGTTAAGAAGGATATTACAAGGTATTATTCTTTGCTTATGACAAATCAAACACTTGTTGTTTATATTGGGAATTTAGTTGATAGTACTTATACTAGTGTTTACAATGTGAAACTTTTATTCACTTTCATCCTGCTGAAGAAAAACATAGTGATATTGAGCTGAATTCGGATTACTCTTATAAACCATTTGATTCTGGGGCTGATTTGATCTTACCCATTTTAACAATTTTGCCTTTAAATGATGGTTTGTGGTTTGGAAGGATGAGATATTTTGTTTGGATCTTTTGCAAGTTGGAAATTGAAAATTTTACCTTTTTGTCTTTCATGAGCTAAAAGACTCATAGGAGTGATGAATGCACTGTTGTCAATTCATGTCAATGCAAAGTTTTATTTGGTAGGCTTCCTTTCTTTATCTTGTACAATTACATTTTATCTATAAATTCGTGACATTTACAATTAATCTTAAACTTAGGAGTGGAACAAATTATGAACATCGTACCTTGCTTTAGGCACGATTAATAATAATTATCGTGGCTATGGGTACGGTTCACGTGGCATGGTCACCATATATAATCCCCAATTCAGGTGTGCACTTCATGTGACCCAATCAGAACAACTTCGAACAATAATAAAATAAACATGTCGCGAATCGCGGGTGCATTTCATGTAGTGTGGATTGTTGTGTGTTCCAAAACGGCAAGTGTACAACAATCGTAACTTTTTCAAGAAATAATTCTATAAATCTTAAAAGCGGTTAAAATAATTAAAAGCTGTTATAAAGTTAAAAATGCACATTAGGTTTAAAACATGTAGTAAATCAAATAATTAGGCCAATTATTAATAGTTAAGCGACCGTGCTCGAACCACAAAACCCGGGAATACCTAACACCTTCTCCTGGGTTAACAAAATTACTTACTTAGAATTTCTGGTTTCGCAGACTTTTTAATAAAGTCAAAAATTCTCCTCTATTTGGGATTTAAAATATACTAGTGACTTGGGACACCAAATAAATTATTCCATGTAGCAACTCTGAAATTAAATAAAATAATCTCATTTCAAATTATGTCACTTTAATTGAAAAAACTCCCTCATATACCCCTCTGATGGTAAAAAGGAGGTGTGACATGTGTCTCTATGCATTCCATTATAACTCTGTGCTTCTTATTCTAAATTTTGGGGTTTTGATTCTTCAAAATCAAACCAAGTCTGTTCGATTCTGGTTTTCTTTTAAGATTCTCCTCTCTACTTTATGTATCTTATTTTACTGCTGATTTTTTGGTTTTGCTGAAATTAAGGCTTTTGAAATCTTTTACTAAAACTTCAGACTTTCCTTTCCTGTACAATACTAATACTTTCTTATTTTGTTCGATTTACCTGTTCTTACCTTATTTGGACCAATGTCCGATTAATAATTTATGCTACTTCCCTTTGACTTAACCTTACTGCCAGATTTATGTTCTAGTTATTTAAGTCAACTTTTCATGTATTCCAGAATTATTCCTTACCTTATTTGGCTACTGATTGAGCCTACTAACTGATGCTAGCCTGATTTTACGCTTGATAATTGATCAAAAATGATTGTTAATTGATTTTCATTACCTTATTTGTGTGTGATCTGTTCATTACCTTATGTGTTCTGCTCTATTACATGCAATAAAACCCTTTCCCTCCTGCCTTTTAGAGATAACTCGAACTCTCCTATTTTTTTCAAGACAAACTTAAGCGTTCTATCTTACTTCTATGCTAAGTAGCTATTATTTGGCCGATTGAAAGCCAAGGCCAAACTATTCTGGAACCTATCTATTTCTGCATATTTGCTTTCTCCTTTACTAGTATGTGTTAACTCCTGCTATCCTATCCTGTTCTATGTGCCTATTTGGTAGTTTATTTCAAACCTCAACATGTTTATGTGTGATCTATGATTCGTGTTTGCTCCATTCTCAATTGACCTGTTTTAGTTCCTATTACTTCATTCTGTCTTATTGTTTATTTCGACTTCAGCATGTTTTTTATTACTGCTTTTCTCAAATGGAATGCTTTAGTTATTCTACTCAACCCTATGTGCTTATTAGTTTAAGATTTCAGCATGATTCCGTTTGCTATTTAACTATGTGATTTCACTTAGTGACAATGTTAAACTAAGTTACCTTCAACATGAAACATAGACTAATTCAACTGCATGTTCCTTATTCTGACTATTGTTAGATACTCCAAGCATGTAATATGTGGCTAATCATGTCTGTTAGTTCGATCACCCTTGCTTTGTGATTGCTTTAAGTGTTAGTATGGGTATCTAGCCTGAATCAACATCAATTTAGTTGGATTATAGGCTGAACATGAGTTTGTTTGTGCAGTTTTGTTACTATCCTGTACACACTGGTTTCTGAATATGCTCCCTTACCCTTGCCTTTTGAAATTATCTGTCTTTCAAACTTGTTCTCCCTTTACCCTCTACATACTGGATTTCAAATTTCTACTCTTAGTTATCAATGTTCCTACTACTCCCAGTATGAGCACTGCCTTGGGTCCTTGACACTCCTCTGAACTCTGACATATTGGGGTTGGTCTTCCAATCTTTTATGAATTGTTTCTCTGAGTGTGGTCCTGGTGTGAGCATTTCCCGGGGTCCCTGAGGCCCTTGGAAATTTTGGCACACCAGGAGCCCAATTTTATATGCTATGGATGGATTACCATTATGCTCTAAAGTTGCTATGTTTGAAGGCCTGGTTCCCAGGTTCATATTGGGCCTATGAAGGCTCCCTATAGTACAATAGATATTGTTATGTAATTTATTCAATTTGGGCTGTAATAATCTCTGTAATAAATAAATATGGGGTTATTAGTAAAAGATAGGGGGTCTATTCTTATATCTTTGTTGAGATTGGGTAGAAATCCTGCCTATAGGACTTAGCTATGTTAATGTGGATACTGTTATTGTGTTTAGAGATCCTGCCTATAGGGATTTTATGATCAATGTGATTCTGTGCTGCACATCCACATGTTAGAAATCCTGCTTATAAGACTTTACATTTAATTCTGCACATTTAAAATTCTGTTTATAGGATCTGCAAGTATTTTCA